CTTACTCTCCACTGGCCTGCGACCCCATCCCAACTTCCCAGCTGAGCGCCCTGTCTGCACAGGTCCCCCCCCCAGCAGGGTGTGTGGGGCAGACTGCTGGGACTGCCAGGAAGCAGAGTCCAGCCACTGTGCTGCCCAAGCCCTGCTGCTCGCCCTGGCCACAGCTGCCACAACTCACACTGCCCCCTGTGCCTGGGCTGGGCAGGACCGAGGGACCTGCCACAGGCCTGACAAAATCCCTTGGTGGACCATATCCCTTGACCACCCCTGGGGTGAACTGTAACATAAGATGTCTGGACTTGTTTATGTTTTTCTGGTCAGGTATAAATTACTGAAATCCAACCTGATAATCCGACCTGATTCTCAAAAAACAAACAAAAAAATGTGAAAGGTGTTTATTGTCTCTGTGTTATGTCACTGGGCAAAATAAAACCATATAAGAAGAAATAAAAAGATTAGAGCTTCTTGGGTAACAAGTAAAACTTAAGTGTAACTGGCTGGGACCATAATTGCACTGGAAAGAAAACATAAATCAGATGTTACACCAGAAATGTAGCCCTTGCAAATCAACTTAATAAGTAGAATTGTAGCAGTTGTTCAGTAAGGAAAATCTAGTGTTTGTGTTTGTGTTTTTGGGTAATAGATGAGAAACGGTCACTGAATTCAGAAAGGCTCTTACAGCAGGGGCTGGTACAGTGTTCTAGGTATCATAGTTTATTCTCTATTTGCAGTAGGTTCTTAACTGTGATGGAAAAGGAGTCTTATGAGATTATAGAGAGGTTGGAGAAGGACTTTTCTCTGTGGCCATAAGGAACAGGCTGAATGAGCTGGGTTATTTAGTCTAGAGAAGAGGAGACTGACAGGGGGTTTGATAACAGTCTTCAAATACCCGAAGGGAGATTATGGAGAGGTTGGAGAAGGACTTTTCTCTGTGGCCATAAGGAACAGGAGCAATGGCCTAAAGCTGCAGCAGGAGATATTTAGGCTAGAAATTAGTAGGAACTTTCTGACTGTGAGGGTGGTCAAGCAGTGGAACAGACTACCGGGAGAAGCTGTGGAATCTCCGTCCTTGGAAACTTTCAAAAGCAGGTTAGACAGATACTTGGCTGGGATTGTTTAGTCAGGGATGGTCCTGTTTTGAGAAGGGGCTGGACTAGATAACTTTTTGAGGTCCCTTCCAGCCCTACTTTCCTATGATCCTGTATATGTGTGGAGAAACTCACTCCCTTTGTAGAAAATTGTATCTAAACTATCTTAATAACAGTGAAAGGAAACAGATTATGTTTAAAAATTTACTAATAAAAGACTCTTGTCCTGGGAAGAGATGAGAAAGCACAAAGAGGTAACAAAGAGATACAAAACAGAGAGCTGCTTTTCATTCGAAAGAGCTGGCGTCAAATGTTTGCATTGACTAGAGGTGACATTGTATTTTCAGACTCCTTTGGTTCCAGTTTGTGCACATCTCAAAAACAAAATATAGTGGGGCAGCATCAGGGTTCCTATTTCAGCTGGGCCAAGGACTGGAAAAACAGGTGGCATTGTACACTCAGAGTGATGCATCTCAAAACAGGTTTGTATGGAAAATTTGCAGAGCACACTTGCACTATGCTTGGCTTAGCCAGCACTGCTGCAAATCCTTGCTGTTCAGGGGGACTGAAATGGCTCCAATTTTAAACTGCCTGAAATAATTAAATCAGTATTATTAATCTGAACAATAGTTTAAAAACCGTGTTTCTGTTGTAGGTAGACTTCAAGATGGCAACAGTAGTAGAACTCAGCCACATCCTTTCAACATCTGAATCAGCAGAAGGAGATGACAACAAACTCAAGTTTCACCCAGGGATGTTCCTAGAACCTCGAGAGAAGAAAATTGATGTGAAGGCACTCGTAGTCAAGAAAGCAAAGAAAACTTGCAGCTGTACTCCAGCCAAAGCAAAAGACCTAATTTTCAGTTTCTTCCCTGTCTTGCAGTGGCTCCCCAAATACAAGCTAAAAGAATACATCCTGGGGGATGTAATGTCTGGGCTGATTGTGGGCATCTTGCTGGTGCCGCAGTCCATTGCCTATTCCCTATTGGCTGGCCAGGAGCCTATTTATGGGCTTTACACATCATTTTTTGCCAGCATTATTTATTTCCTGTTTGGAACTTCCCGTCACATCTCAGTTGGCATTTTTGGTGTGCTATGCCTGATGGTGGGACAGGTGGTAGACCGTGAGGTGCAGAGAGCTGGATATGACCTTGAATCAGATATTCACAGTAGCCTTCATAGAGACTTGGTAATTGGTATAAACAGCACAGCTTTGCCCATGAACCAGACATCACAACAGCTGTTATGTGATAAAAGTTGCTATGCAATTGCGGTAGGATCCACTCTGACCTTCATAGCTGGAGTTTATCAGGTAAGAAGTGACAGAGCAAAAATGTTTTTTATGGAAATATTTCTAATTGTCCTTCAAGTGATTGTCCATATGCACATCCTGCTGTGGACTTACACGTGTCTCATATTCTTGACCTTGGAGACCTATAGCCAGCAGTCTCCACATAGCACATCCGCACTTCCCCTCTCCAACTTCATACCAAGACCAGGTAGAGCAACATACACCTTCCATGCCTCAGTGGGGTGTGTAAATGGCCAACACAGTTGCAGTAACTCCACTTCTTACCATAGGGTAAGCAATCTTTCTTCTTTTAGCCAAAGTTTAACTGTTTATTGAAGTCTTCTGAGAAAAGCTTGGAAGACTGGGAGAATTTTTATAGCAGCAATGTCCATATGTTGCTCTGCACCAATATTTCCCTCAGCAATGTTCAAAATCAAGACCTTTATAATTCCCATTGTTTAGATATCAACAGGTGCTCAACACCTGTCACAGCCTGGCCTGAAACTTTTTTTTTTTCATTCATTTGTATCTTAGTGCTAAGTCTCCACTGGGCAGCATTTGCAGTATCAGCTTAAACCACCTTTCATTTATTTATTCATAATCAGCTGACTTTATTTTCATAAAAAATAGTAGAAAATTTAAAATAAACTTCTTGTTTCCTGGTTAAAACTTGACTACATGTCCTTGCAAAGCCAGAACTTTAACACTGTATTAAAGGAACATGAAAAAGATAAAAAAAAAGCCTATGCATTCCTAATTAGTAAAATTGAAATAGTTTTTTAAAAATATCTAAAATCTAATTTTTTTATGCTGTGATTATCTTGTGTTATGTTGAATTGTTGAATTTAAATTTCACAGGGGTGTAGGGATGCTGTGTTCAGGTTTTATAATATAGTAGAAAAAAATATTCACGCAAAAGAAAAGCTCTTTCATTATTGTAGTTACCACTACTCTACCAGCCATGTAATAACTATACTTTTAACATTTTTCTCAGTAAAGCTTTTAAATCTGAGCACACTGCATTGGAGGGAAAAAAGGAAGAATTTCCATAGTATTCTAGAAAATCCTTTTTTAAATACAAAACCTGAGGTTGCATCTTGTATCACTGGATAAGATCAACTAGTTTTATTTGTATCATAATATGAACCCCTTGATATGACATTGGGGTTGCATTTCTGAGGTGGTAAGAGTTATGGACTTGTGAACTGCAGGTAGATTTTTGGCCAAATATCTGTCTATTCAGTTGCATTACATAGACCAAATTATTTTATCTGATGTAGATGTTATATATAGAATGGTAATTAGCCATGCTTTGCTTGGCATCTTTTACTGCCTGCTAGCCAATAGACTCTTAGTTGCTAAAAATGTTATTCATATCAACATTGCTTTTTGAATTCAAAATAGAGATAAGGTTCCCTTTGTGCAAGGGACTGTATAGACACACGGTAAAAAACAGGGCTGGTCCTGAAACTGCTTGTAATCTAAGTAGACAAGACAGACAGAGAAGGCACTGCTACCCCCATTTTACAGATGAGGACCCATGAATCAGGAAACAGGAATCAACTGAGTTGTCCTGGGATTTCCTGGGGAACCTATTGCCGAGTCAGCAATTGAACCCTCATGCCTTGAGCTCCAGTCTAGTGCCAAGGCCACAAGACTGTCCTTCCTCTCAATAAAATTGTGCAGCGCTCAGATGTTTATGCTGGTTTCCAAATCTGTGTGTTGGTTTTGTGTGCATGCTGTGTTGCCTCAGCTACCTGACAAGATAGATATGTATGTCATCAGGAACCACTAGATTTGAGCCAGCTGTGTACAAGTGCCATACGGTTGTGACATCATTTAACTGTGTTGCTAATTTCCATCATGCTAAGATTCATGATGTAATCTCTCATGTCTGGTTGATTTCTTTCAGGTTGCAATGGGCTTCTTTCAGGTGGGCTTTGTCTCAGTGTACCTCTCCGATTCTTTGCTCAGCGGGTTTGTCACAGGTGCCTCCTTCACAATCCTGACCTCCCAAGCCAAGTATCTCCTAGGTATAGACATTCCACGAAGCAATGGCATTGGCTCCCTCATAACCACCTGGATAAATATCTTCAAAAATATATACAAGACCAACATCTGTGACCTTATTACCAGTGTCTTGTGCCTTCTCATTCTTGTCCCAACCAAAGAGATGAATGAATACTTCAAATCCAAACTCAAGGCTCCAATACCCGTTGAACTGGTGGTGATTGTGGCAGCTACACTGGCATCTCACTTTGGGAAACTGAAAGAGAATTATGGTTCCAGCATTGCTGGACACATTCCAACTGGATTTCTGCCACCCCGTCCACCTGATTGGGACTTGATTCCCAGTGTGGCTCTGGATGCTGTTGCTATTGCTGTTATTGGCTTTGCCATCACTGTGTCCCTCTCAGAGATGTTTGCCAAGAAACATGGTTATACAGTTAAGGCCAACCAAGAAATGTATGCTATTGGCTTCTGCAATATTATTCCTTCTTTCTTCCACTGCTTTACAACTAGTGCAGCTCTTGCCAAGACACTTGTCAAAGAGTCAACAGGCTGCAGAACTCAGATCTCCAGTGTGGTGACTGCACTGATCATCTTGTTAGTCCTGCTTGTGATTGCCCCTCTGTTCTATTCCCTTCAGAAATGTGTCTTAGCAGTCATAACTATAGTAAACCTTAGAGGAGCCCTGCGGAAGTTCAGGGACCTGCCCAAAATGTGGTGTTTGAGCAAGGTGGACACGCTGATTTGGTTTGTTACTATGGTAGCCTCCGCACTGGTAAGTACTGAGATTGGCTTGTTGGTTGGTGTCTGCTTCTCTATGCTGTGTGTTATTTTTCGAACTCAAAGGCCAGAAGCAGCATTGCTTGGCTGGGTAGCTGAGTCTGAGGCATATGAACCCCTATCTTCTTACAAGAACTTGCAGACTAAACTGGGCATCAGGATTTTCCGTTTCGAGGCACCTCTTTATTACATCAACAAGGAATGCTTTAAATCTACATTGTACAAGAGGACTGGAGTCAACCCAGCCTGGGTGAAGGCAGCAAAGAAAAAGGCAGAAAAGCAAATGCTAAAAGAGAAGATGATGAATTCTGAGGGCAAACAAGATGACATCTCAGTGCAGCTTGTCTCTGAACCCTTGGACTTCCACACCATAGTGATTGACTGCTGTGCAGTGCAGTTCTTGGACACAGCAGGGATTCGCACACTCAAAGAGGTCTGCAGAGATTATGAGGAGATTGGCATCCAGGTGCTGTTGGCTCAGTGCAACCCCTCTGTGAGGAGTTCTTTGCAACGGGGAGAGTACTTTAAGAAGGGGACAAGGCACCTTCTCTTCCACAGTGTGCACCAGGCTGTGGACTTTGCACTTGGGGCACATATGCAAAATGGGAGTTGTGCTTCTGACTCATAGTGCTGGGAAGGCAACAATCAGGGCAGGATCAGGAAAACACGTAGGTGTGAATGTAATGCATATATACTCAGGCAGGTAAAAGTACTCCAAGAGCGGAGTTGCTGTTCATATACAGTTGAGTTCACAGAGTGCTCTGCTGCTTCAATTTACCCTGCTGGCTAGGGTGATTAGCTAAGTAGTGCTGAATGTAGGCATCTGTAACATGTTCATGACTCACCTACAAAACCTATTGTATTCATGATTCTTGTGTGTCCCTCTCATCCTTCCATGTAATTAGGGCCAAAGAAGGAGCAGCTAGGATCAAAACCCTGTCTGGCTTGGACTCTGATATGACATCACTTGCAATGGCTTTGACTCCCAGGGGTGGGAGATATGGGAATTGTTCAGAGTGAAATGGTTTTAAGTTGTAAGCACCTCTCACTCAAAGTTGCCTTGCTAACTGGTGTCTGGCAGTGTAATGCAGCTAGATAAGGACTGGAGGAATGGTTCTCTCATTTACACACTGGCCTGTATGTTTTTTTGTTACAATAGATCAACTTTGCAGGTTGAATTCCTTTGGATAATCTAGACTGATCTTTATTAAAAGTTTTTCAGAGCACCATACTGCAGAGGAGGACTGCAGAAGGGAAGTAAAGAGGCAGGCTTATTGCAGTCTGACGTGCTTATGTTTAGTCATCACGTGTTCTAGTATATTCGAGGAAAAGCATAAAAATTGGATTAGATCTGGGGCTGGACTCGATGATCTTCTGAGGTCCCTTCCAGCCCTAATGTCTATGAAATCTTTTCCATATCTGTTATCATTTCCAGTATGGGATTGTCCCCTAATCAATTTTGTATGCCCTGTGCAGACTGAATCACAGAAGTTAAGAAATGGAAAAAGAACAGACTGTCATTTATTCACTTCAGTCTCAAAGTTGGGGCTTTGTAGAGAAACACCAAACACTAGGATAAAAATCACAGGAGTTGGCAACACCATATATGTTAACTCAAAATCTTCCTATCTTCTGGGGCATCTTACAGACGTTTAGGTAAGGTGTGATGTGATGAGGATGTTGGATATAACGAGAAGGGATACCTTGATGAGCATCTTCACATAAGAGCTTTTTATGTCGAATAATTCAGTAAAATATATTTGATTGCCTAGCGTATAAAATACTGGTGCAAGAGAGCACGACACGTTAGATTAGAAAGAAATACCATATAGCATGAGAAAGAAAAGTGGGGATTTGAAAATAAGCTCTATATTAATGTACGCTAAAAAGGCTCTTTTTTCAGAAAATTTAAAACATACAAGACATCCGTGATCTTCACAGAGATCCCATCCTCTGTAGGTCTGTGAGAGGGAGATACAACTGAAATTTATCTCTTCTAAAGGCTTTGACTTGTGGCGGTTTAGATAAGAACTCACAATTGACCAGACCCTGTTGCCAGGCAATAGTTTCCATGAACACGCTCCCTCCAATTATGATTTAAATGAAACTCCAGGTTAACTTCCATGGCAGTGTTAGACTTCCCCTTGCAACAAGAAACAAGAGATCTAGCCTGAACATCAGAGAGAAAATATTAGTCCTCCAGAGCATTTAAAAAAAACTAAGCCTGCTTCCTCCTTCCACAGAATTTGGGGTTTGTCTACATGGGGGAAAATCCCAGATTTGCTGCCTCTAACGGCTATTCAGCATTGACTTTCCGTGTAGGTTTTCTTATCTGGCACCAAGAATGCCCTTGTGTAACATAGGTTAATCTCTCCCAAAGTAAATTAAACTGCACAAATCTCTCGGTGTGGAATATGATAGTTTGTACAGGAAATATGAGTGTCTGTATAGGGAATTAATGCAGAATAGTGCTTGCCTTTTAAATTCATATCATAGATGTTTCACACTGCATTCGCTATGTAGACAATCCAGTAGGTAAGTTTTATCCTAGGTACAACTACACAGAAGTAATAGTAGTCAGCATTTTCCAGCAGAGGGCTCTGCCTGTTCACATGTCATAGAAAGAAAAGGCCAGCAGCATAGACAGAAACAGGCAGATGCTAACCACTAGAAGAGACAAAAAGGATGATAAGATGTGAAATACATGCGAGCCCTGTAGCAGTCAGCACAGAGGCTTGGCGAAATTACTCTTCACAGTTTCATGAAGTGTGATTGGAATTTTGGTTTTAAACAAAACCACCCAACTTAAAGCTGTTTAATTTAAACACTCTTGAGAAGAGTGACATATTTCAACTGATCAGAACAGAGCTGAAGAAATGCAGCTCTGTTATGCTTTCACTTCCTGGTAGGCATACGATTTCCACAGACCTGCACAACGCTTGTTCAGAACTGTTGCGTATAGTTTTCCCAAAAGTACCGTAAACACTGTCAGGAAATCCATTTTTGAGGCATTAATATATACTATGTTTAAAACGTATACAGAACTAATTTATGCTCATCTAAGCCAAGATGCCTGTTATTTGGCCACAGGAAGTGCCAAAACAAGACAAAATAATCCTGCTAATGAAAAAAACCACCATTTGAACACATCTGTATAATGCAAATATATCCTGAAGGCCATAATGTATGGACATGTTTTAGATTAATACACAAAAACCCAGTGAGAAGAGAACTGGAGCTGGGGCTGGGATCTTGCAGTGGTGACAGTGGATTGCAGCTGTGCCTGGCTCCGGACCACGCTGTCACCGCTGTAAGATCTCAAAAGCTTATGAAGCTTACAAAGGCCTGCTCCTCTGGAGCAGCTCCCTGCCCAGCTGGGTGCCTTTCCATGGAAACCCTGGCCCCACATTGTCCTGGCCCCACGGCTTCTGGAGTCTCCATAGAAACCAGTTGCAGCAATGTGGGCAGGGGCTGCTGGGAAATGGACTCTGCCATAGGCCTAATCCAGCCCACGGGCCAAACTTTGCCCGCTCCTGCATTAGGTGAGGACTAGGGCTTAGCATTTCATATGTTCATCTCAGCTGTGATCTTTTAAAGAAATTCTGTTTTATGAAGGAGTTTTAGCTACACACACACTGCCGATGCATAATGAATACTATATGCAGGTGTACATTCTGAATATTTTTGTGACATATCCATTCCAGTGCTGCAAAGGAATCATCCTGAGCCATATGAATATCATACCATTTAGAATAAATAGTTGCGATCAGGCATAAAGTATCCAGAAGGAGGATGAGTGACTTAAATGCCACTGCTTGCCTTCTTGCAGTTCCTTTGTCCTAATCCTGCATAGCTGTTCAATCATTAGTGGTACACAGTAAAAGGAAAGATAAAATAGTTTCTGTGACCAGTCTGTAAGTAGTTGGGTACATGTCCTCTGTTCTAGATTGTGGCATTAATTCCCAGCAGTACCTCCAAGACTCTTGGCCAGCTTGTTAATTGAGCTAAATTGGCCCAACTCCATTTGACTTGAACAGAGCAAGGTTGATTTACGCCAGCTGTGATTCTAGCCTTCTGATGCCAGAATGATCAAATCCAGCAATCACCAATCAGAGGTTTAGATAATGAGAAAGTTAACTCATTCGCTGAGGATAATGACACAACGTTATGGAAATTAATATTCACAGCCTCAGTTATAAACTTAAGTGTCTTTTTACTTGTATAGCTCCTATTTATAGCAGTTTCAACTGCTTCTAATATAGCTTTTGCACTAAAGTGTTTACCTTGTTTAAGTGTTTTCACATTCAAACAATTTTCAGTCTACTTAACAAAAATGACAAATGCATTGCAACATGTTACATGGGACTAATTTTTATTCTGAATTGATGAGAGCATAGTAAATCTTGATCTTGTACTTTTTAATGACTCTGCCTGGATAGTATCATTGTAAATCACTGTAGCCATATCCATTATTCTCTAATTCAGTGCAAGATACAGATCTTTGGCCGTTCTGGTATTTTCTTCCAGACATAGCATAGGACTGACTGTAAGTGAGAGAACCATTGTTTTTGGGTATGATACTGTTACTTGTGACCCTCAACCATACCTAATAGTAAGGTATAAAGCTGATGGGCAGTCAAGGAGTTAAAAAGAAAAAAATATTAAACCATTACCTGAATAAAAGAGGGAGGAAACCCCAGGATGGCTGTTAAGGAGTTCCAGGTCTGGACTTACCATTACTTATAATTTTGCACTACCTTTGTCATTTACCCTATTTCCTTGCATAACCCCCTACCACCAAGACAGGACACACAGCTTGTTTCTGGAAAGCAGAGCAAAGGAAAAAAGACTTTTTGTCCTGGCTGCAGGGAATTCTGATTTCAGTGGCAGTAGCTGAGCGAGAGTTAACACTGTAGCCCTGACCTTGAAGGGTGAACTCCATCCCCTCTATCTCTGAGGCTGGCAAAGGGAGAAGCACAGCAGCTATCTTGCAGCAGTGTCTTCATGCTTCTATTCCCATGAAGAAAAAAAATCAGCCTCTCTGCTGAAGATGTGCACCCCATTTTGTAGGACTGATTTGTGGAGAACAGTGCATTCAGTATGCAGGTAAATACAGTAGATCAGAGGGCATACTCTATACATTTACTCAGTTGATTCCTAAGGATTTGAGAAGAGTTACAATGCACATAAATAATAGCACCTATTAGGAAAATAAAAAAGGTTAAGTGTCTTTATTGTGGAGGCAACAGGAAAATTGCTGTCTCCATGTCTACAAAGCTATGTGCCTTCTTCCAGTCACTGCAATAATGATAGTTACAGTTCAGTGCCTCTGTGCGTGTCACAGTGCCTCATTACATGCGTACTAGGTACAGGAGAGTTCTCTTATTTTGAGGCTTGTTCATCTCTGATGTATTTTTCAGTATAGTTCTGTACTGTCCATTCTGCCAGCCTGGGTTGCTGGGCTTGCATTGTTACTGCACTACTCAGCCTGCAGCAGCTGATAGAAAGTTACTGCCAAAAATTCAATGGTACCTCTATGCTGACTCATTGCTGCCTGAGTAACTTATGGAGAAGTCATCATGACTCCTTATTTGAAGATGATGAGTCTGAGATGCAAAATCTAAATGTTACAGGGAAAAAGGTACTTCCAAATGAGACTGGTACCCAAAGGTCTTCAATTCTATTAGCATCTCCACCTGTCTTCCATTGTCTTGTGCAGAACACCACTGTGAATTCTGCCTGCAGGGATCAATGATCTCCATTTCACGCTCTAAAAAGAGACTAGAAATATAAGCACAAAATGTCTATCAGGTCATTCAGTGAATCTGCTCAGCCAGTGTGAGACTCCTTCAAGGGCACTTTCTGATGTGTTTTTCTTTCAGCCGTGAGAAAGCCAATGACGTAGTGACCAAAGCTTATGAAGGCCTGACAAAGATTAATACCTTGCTTACACTGTCAAGGTTTTGCTATGTTTGTTACAGGTGTGATTTTTTTAAACCAACACAGTAAGTTTCTTCATACCAATATGATTGTGTTACATATGATTGTGCAGTACCAATATATGCTTTTTTTATATGACTATAACTTTGTTCCTACAAAGGGAGTTTTGCTGCTTTTATTGTGCTGGCATAGTCAAAATATACATGTCCCTTACATGTATTGTGCACAAGTTTGCAAAACTTCTCTCAGTGTGTAAATTGAAGTATATTTGTAATTCTTTGCAACATCAGTTCCTAACACAGTTTATTGTCTGATCCTCTCCGTTCCAAACAAAACTTCAGCCTGATGTGGAAACCAGTTTGGGGGCTCATTTTTTTTCTTTTGATGCTACTAAAAACTGGAAAAAT